CCATTGAACTTCCTCTTAGTTCACACCCAGAGAGACTTTTATCCAATCAAAATTCATAAGATTTTTCACTGATGCAAAGCTTTTTCCTTTTTCTTTCTTCATGTCTGCTAGTCAACAAAATAATCCAAATCCTCCGGCGGAAAAAGGTATATTATATAAGAAAATGTGAACATCAGTCAACAATATCACTATGTACAATAAATAAACAAAACTGAGTTCAAAGTATATCAACTAAGCTGCTGAGTGACAAATAAATCTACTTAAAAAGCAATTCAAAAGATTTTCTGTGCAAAAGAATGCTAGACTACAGTTTCTGCTGGAAAGGAGGGGAAAAATAACAAAACAATAAAAGAAGAAAAAACCAATCAGTAGTTAAGTAAAGAGTACTTTATCCTCAGTACAATTTTCCCTTTTTCCACTCCAAGCTTAGCCCCTGTGACTAACCAATGGCCAGGAATATCTTGAGGCCCCTTAAACATTTCTGTCGTGTCCACAATTTTTGCCAGTTTTCCTATGTGAGTTGAAGTATCCTCCTTTTTGTCATCGGAGCCTTTCTTTGTCAATGATGATGAAGAATCAGGCCTCTGTGCAGCAGAAGGAGTGGAGGGGTTATGATCCCAAACAGACCGTCTTATCGTACAACCTGGTACTTTGGAGAAGAGGAGCTTGAGGTGTAACACATTTTTGGCTCCAAAGTCCCACACACCAAGCTGAGCTCCAGTGACAATGTGAACACCAGAGAGGTCTCCAATACTAGTTTCAGTATACTCAATTGGTGCAGTACTTACATGGGAGAAATTCTTCCATTTGATCGGTTCAAACCAACGGCTGTCTTGTTCTTCTGGACCTTGCCACTTGGGAGCACCTATGGCCACGTGTGTGTCCCAGTGAGGTAGAAGATTTTTTGGGAGGGAGACAAAATGTTGCAGATGAATTGCAAGTCGATTTTGTTTGTTGCCTTCTAGACCAAGTCTCAGTCCAGTCACAGGCTTGCGTCCAACTGTTACCTGCATATCAAATCATATCATAAATATTTAGAACTGTTGAATTATTAAATGACATTAATTGTGGAAAACTATTGCTACTGATAAAGATAGCAATACTATCAGTAGATCGCAGGGGAATCTGAGCCATCTTGATATATAGCTTTAATTCTCTCCATTATGAATAGAAAGTCAGTTTTAAGACTTCCACGAATATTTTGCATAAGAAACTTGTGAATAAGCATCTTTCGGAAAATAACTTATTTTAGTACTTATACAAAAGGAACTTACTACATGAGAATTTATTCATATGCTTGTGACTGTGAAACTTAACTGAAATGCGCTTTCAAAAAAAAAAGTTATTTTGACAAGGTTCTCTACGAAGCTTCTTCAAATAAGTCAAATAGAACATATAGGAAGGTCATAACTTATAAGGCACTTTCGTAAGCTAAAATAAGCTCCACAGAAGCTCCTTCCACACGCCCTCTAATTTGGATGAGTTCAATCAAGCTTAGTTAAAATTACCTGATCTGAACTAACAAAAAGTTTTGGTCCCATCAAACTGAACTGGAGGGATGGACAGACAGGTTCCTTTCTTTGTAGATTACTCTGCTCAGGCGCCCAAACTCGAGCTATCTGGAAATCCAAGAAATACTGTAGATCTTCGATGGGTGGTTTGTCTGGTGGATATAGCAGACATGTGAATTATATACACTATATCAAACAGCCCAAAACATACAGCTATATTTTTTCAGTATTATTTGTCAAACTTGTCTTGAAATCATGTTAGACGTGAATGTCCTTAGATTTCAAGTCTATTTTTAGCCAGTCTGTGTATTTATAGCTAGTCTTGTGATTCACTGAATCGAAAAACAATTACTACAAAATTCTAACAATGCAGGTAGAAATCCTGTATACCACAATATAATATAGTAAAAATTATGTATGGAATTAATCTCCTTTATGTTGAATATATACATAAGTCCTCTATTTATAATAGAAGAAATATAAGAAATATGGACTAAGTCCAAAATACAAATAAGAAATAATAACAAAATAAGTAAAGATAAATATAAAATAAAAATAATATATCTAACATGCAAGTCCAAGATAACAAATATAGGAAAATGACAATTTTCAAATTTCCACAAACATAATGGGGACTACATCATATACACAGGCAAGAGAGAAAGTCTTCAAAATGTTGTCTTCATGAAAGCTATATCCATCATCTTAATATTATTAAATCTCCACCGTGATCTGGTACTCACTTTAAGTAATGAATAGTTTAAAAAAGACTAATTTGAATGAATTTAATAAATATCCATCCCTGACAGGCCAACAGGGGGCAGCATATCTAAAATGTAAAAGTCATCAAATTATACACAAGTTGTTTCTTTTATAAATTTACTTATGTATTATTTTAAACTTTTCTGTTTTGGTTGAGGTTAAGAAATCTCTCCAATGAACAAAGTGGATCAAACTGAAGATAGCTTATCAAAAGTAGCAGAGGTTGAATGAAGAAAACATTGGGAGAGACCAATAAACCAATAAAAATACCTTGTTTAAATAGCTTTACTGAAATATTGGATTTTTATGCCCAAAGGCATTAATTGATTCTAATAACCTCACTTGGTGGCATAAGATTTAGTTATTATTTGGTGAGTTTTCTACAATATTTATTTTACTCATTGGACAATAAACTTTATTGGAAAAATATAGTTACTAATTGAGGCATTGATGTATATTTAGACAAACTAACATGCCCCTGAGAGTTTACCAATTTAAGGCATTTAAGTAAATCTAGATGTGTTTTGACAAAGTTTATGGATTTAACAGCTTGTATGTAAGTCACAGAGTGCATTACCTTTGAATAATTATTATAACCAACAAATAAAGTTAACACCATTCTTAATATTTAATATTTGGATTAGAACTTACATTCAAGATATAAATCAATGGCACGGGTCAAATGGTTAACCCCAGGTACTCCTTCAAGAAGAGAAACAATGGGAGTAAATGTCATGTTAATGATATCTGGTGCCAGTTTTACAGTCTCCACCCATTTAGAGTGATTTTGCTCAAGATCATTCCCGCCTCTCCTCCTAAAAATGACAGTAACATCCTGCAGCAAGAAATTAGTGCTTAAAAGGTAGCCAATGAGATAGAGAGTGCAGTAGTGAGAAAAAAAAAATTATGCAACCAATATGCCAGAACCTAATTTGCATAAAGAGAAATTGAACACCTAATTACAGGTAGAAAAATATTGTGTGCTTGGTGGGTAATAATGGGAAAAAGGCACTTCTTATACAAACCTTCTCCTTGTATTTTAAAGGACCAGGACCAGATATATTCTTTCCATCATGAAACCTATCATCTCCAATGTCCTTTACATAGTTCTCAATGTCTGAGGCAGACAAACTAGATGATTGGTGCTGCCTAACATATATGACATCCCTCCCGCCAATTGTTGCTGATGTAACAATATGGGTACCATAATTCTCAATAAAACTGAGACGAAAGGAAAGAAAATTTGTATTAGTACTTGTCCCTGCACATCAAATCTAACAAAAAAATATACAAGTCAAATTACAAAACTGGCTTGTACAAATATTTACTGTTATTGTACCACAACTAGGTAAATTTCTGTGTCCAGTACATAAAATATTGGGAGGCAGCGGCAAATGCATTTAACAGTTGAAATGGTAATCACAACTTCAGTAATGAATTAGTATTGATTTCCAAATAAAGGTTTAGGATTTAGGATTTAGAATTACTAAAGTAAGTTGGAAAGAAAATCTAATCAAAATAGGGCCTAAAAGGCCAGGACTGGAAAGAGCTAACCCAAGATAACAGCACTATTGTCCACTACCAATAACTATGTCAAAAAAACATTTTTCCTTCGCTTTAATGCAAGAAGTGAAACCTGACACAAGTGCATATTTGGTAGTATGCGTGTATGCATAAAATCTACTTAGAAAAATTCTCAGTATTCAAAAATACAGAACAAACATAATTTTAAATACCCAAAAATACCAAATCAAAACCATTTTCTATAATAAAGTACCAACTGAATAAAACTTATTTACAGCAAACAATAAAACATGATTACCTAGCCAAGGATGCTGGATCCCAAGAATGAGGAACAGAACGCCTAATTTCTTCATTCAAGACTAAAGTTGGATTGGTGAGTTTAACTTCAAACAGTCGAATGAAATACCCAACCATGGCAAGGGATTTCGTGGCTGGTGCATCGACAATGCAGGAGCCAGTAAAGTTGAACATTGAATTGAAGCTTCCTAGTGGAAATTTTTCTGCCAGGCCTGACTTCTCATTGAAACATTTTGCCATCTGGAAAACCAATTATCAAATACAGTAAAGAAAAAGATGGTCAGATTTTGTAGAAACATGGCACAAAGTTTATAATATGCAAGTATAACATAGTCTGTGAAAAATACAGGCTCCTACACCAACTACATAGCTATAGTTCATCTATCTTATCTCGGATGAGATCTTTGACAAGTTACAAACAAAAGAAAATTGAAAAGAAGGAATTCCTTATATTTCATGTTTGAAGACAACTCAAATAAAGCAGATTGCACTTGTACAGTGATTCTTCCCATCCAAAATGTTTTACGACAGTCCAAACTACAGTTAACGACAGTCCAAACTTCATTTGATTTTGTAAGTGACCCACAATTTTTAGAAAAGCTAAATCTGCAATATGTTTTAAAGAAGCTGTCTTGAAACAGTTTCTACTAGTAGAGTACAAAAATCCCAATTCCCAACTTGTCAACTATACAATATGATTCCCATATTTTGGAATAATTTGCTACATCATTCTTCAGCTAATTGAGCATTTAAAAATGAATTCAATTTTTTTATCCACCAAAAAGAATTGTATTCTATCCTTTGAATAATCTTTAGAAGTATCTCAACAGCATCTAGAGCTGAGATGCTAGTTCCAAAATTTAGTGTCACTAAGAGGACCATATGGAAAAATTAGTGCCACTAAGAGGACCATAGTAGAAATATGACAAGGTTGTAAGATAAAATGTGGCGTGCTGATGATGGGAAAGCATACAACTGAATATAAAATGCATCCAAAGCTAGAACTAAATGGTCCATTTTTTTCAAGTAACGAAATAGGCCTTATCCTTTTAAAGTGCACGTTTTGGCCAACTCGCTGACAAGATTTTCATAACGTTACCCTAGATCACAAATTAATCCCTGGCACCACTTAATATAAGCAGTTTACATAACTACTGGCCCAAGATTTGCCAAAAAGAAAATACAATTCAGAAAATATTCACCATAATCTCTATCTCATGAAACTAGGAACGGTGTAACAGCACTGTCATTGCAAGTTTCCCCCATCTAACATACTCTCCAAAAAGCAAAAAATAAAATTAACAAAATAGCAAAGAAAAAAGGAGCTACATAGAGAGATGAAAGGGAAACCCTGCATTAACTACTACACCCCATCAAAATCTAGCAAACGCGACAACTTGCAAAAACACAAATCACCTCATGGAAGGTGCAGACAGGGATCTTCTCCATAGAACTCTGCCCCGGGAAGCAACAAATGTCAGAAGGGACATTTGGAAGAACTAGAGTACGAGAGAGAACAAGATCGGTGGCATGTTCCTCATCAAGATAGACAAGTCTGGAGCCAGGTGCCCCTTTGCAGTATAGAAGGCGGAAATCAGATGTGACATCAAAGCCACGCCCCAGTGCTTGGATTGAGTTGCAAAGGGTAGAAGTGAGAGAATCTGAGGGTGTTGGTGTTGGGTTTTCCATTGAAATGTGTGGGTGGGATGAACAGAAGAAAGAACAGGAAATGGGTTGTGTTGATTGGTTCTGAGTAACAGTTTTATGTGTCCAACAACAACATGGAACCTGAAGTTCTTGGCTTGTTGGGTAGAGTAGATTAAGATTAGATTGTGTTGCTTTTGTTCTGCCTGTTCTTCTCCTTTTCTTCAAAAGAGACGTGCGTTTGACTTTAATAACAATCATCTCTCAAAACGCGTCTTTTTTATTATGACCTCTTTCGGAGTTGACTGCAATTTTCTTAACTTTTGAATTTTTTGCCTGGCCCATCAACTATCAATTAAGTCACTCCAAATGCTTTTGCCACCGTCCACAATTGCTTCGTATACCTCCCCCATTACACCATAATAATAAAAATTCTTTTTTAACTTTTTGTACTTTCTAAAAATGTGTTGCTAAGAATGTAATAAAATATTTACAGGTTAAATATTTTGAAAACGTTATAAAAAATATTTTATGTTATATAAGTATTTAACTATTTTTATATGATAATTACTTTTCTTACAATATGTTTAAGTTACCGTAAACATGTAATAATTTTTTCTTTTAGATTAATATTCTTATATCAATTGTTAGATTGAGTATTTATCATTAAGTCAAGAACCAAATCATGATCAGGAAAGCTTGAAACACCCCGGCTTTCGCCACCAAATTAACATAGTCTCTGAAATCCTTCAAGGACGAACCAATGTTGAAGTAGGAAATATAGTTCCCTACCTTATGAGGAGCCTTATCATACCCTAGAATGTGCGGTAACAGGGAACACAACCTTGTCCATTCACTGACGACATCTATCTCTATGGCGGCCGCCACACCCTTCTCGATCGGAGTAGCCTTATTATTTATGTGCATGGGCTCTCCTCTGTCAACGGAGGATGACGACTTTGATAATCAACATACCATCGACCTCCCTTCCCAACGACTCCTCAGACAAACAAAGTTCTATGGTCAACGTTATTACCTTAAGAATTAAGAAGTGAATGAAACGCTCGGTCGCAAAGATGGGAAAATGACACCACTCTTTATTTATAGTTGAAAAAGTGGTTTTCACTAGTGATTCTCAATCGTTGAAACCAGCTATATCTAACAATCTACAACATATGACCTTTTGTTTCAAGAAAGCGCACAAGTCCTAAAGAACCATGTGTCCCACTTGCACAAGTTAAATTTTCTTGCAACCGCCACGATAATTGCCTACGCGACCAACTATTCCCGAATGAGCGACACAACGAAATCCATCTCACAACAACATGCATGGTCATATCTTCGTCAACAACAAACCCCTTTGTACCTCTTCAACAAAAGACGTACTCGGGCTTGGGGGCCCGTGCACATTATGACCATCCAATTAGTCACGGACCGAGCGGTCAACGTACCCCTTAATCTATCGAGAAACATTCGGTCTATCGGTCGATCGACCCACAAGAAAGATTAGTAATAAGAATAATCATGTTAACCCTAATCTTGGTCATTATTGAATTAAGCCATAATTAGGTCAACACTAATCATAATTAGGTCAACACTAATCAGAAACCTGTCCCAAAATCAGTAAACATAGGTTTGATGTTCAAGTAATTGATTACTTTACTACGCATTTATTACTAAAATACTCAAACAAACACTAACTTTACTATCAAAATGTTTTTCTATAGATAGTACCTAATTTGATCGAACGGTGAAGAGGTGACCTAAGTAGAGAATTTGGAGACTAGTTATGTAAGAAAACTTAATCTCAACCTCATAAACCGAAACACTAACTTAATAATATGAATATAATTTATACACAAACTTCACATAATAGTAAACACCGATTTTTGTCATCTAAATTTCCATTTTACCATTATAATATATATAACATTTTAAAAACAAGTGACAAAGATATCTCTTTAAAAAAAATCTAATTCAATCCAAACATTTGCCTCTAACAAATGACTTCAAAAAACCAAAATAAAATCCAATAAAATCTTATTGAAATCATAACCTATCAATTCTAACATTGGTTGTGATAGAGTTGATGAACAAATTTTAAATGTTGCTTCTCCTTTTCCAATTTTCCAATTGTGTAATCTTTGAATTCTAAAAATAATAAAAACCAAATATTAATAATAAATACACCAACATTGCTACCTAATAAATTGAAAGAATAATAGACTAATTTCATACTTCTAAGAATCTACTTAATCATATAGGTAGAGTTTTATCTTGTGATAACATTAAAATTCTATGCACTCTTACTATTTTTACAGTGAACATCTTACAAATCTAATAATATTTTTAATACTAATTATTGTGAAACTCTTTTAAACTATCATCTACAATTAAGCTAATATATGAATACCTAACATTGAATTTTTTTTTAATACATCCTCAATTATGAATGTGGACACATTTCAAAGTTCTCAATATATACCTCAATATTCTTTTACCTCTTTTTTATATATTGTTTCTCATTTTTGTTAGATATGAGTGATAAAACTTATCATCCTTCCTTTAATATCTCCAATCATTATTTTCGAAATATCATTGGTGTTCAAGTAATTTAAGTTATGAAATTATATTAATAGTCAATAGTAAATGTTGAATATTACTCTAACAAAGTTAGACTTAAAAAATTCTTTAACCTAATTTTTTATTCATGTATAATTAAAAGCATTATCCATTTTCATTTATTATAAATCTTGTATGACTTTGTACACAAATTCTAAAATTTTCAGCCTAAACCACCCTGAATCATAAAATAATCTTTTTAACTGGACATTGTACTTTTAACTTATTGTAAGAAGGTTATCATTATTTTCATTCTTAAAAATAAAAAATTATTTGATTGAGGTAATTATGGATATTCAGAAATATAACTTTTATAATGTAATTAATTATTTTAGTTGTGACATGTGTCTTAGAATGACACCTAAATCATTTACCACAATTACACATTGCAATGAGATCAACAAATTCAAATTCAGGAAAATATGTAAAGGGTTAATATATAGAGGATATTTCTTCAATCAACCATCTTATAGGTTTAATGTATGATAGTTTTAGTTATTTTTTATTTATCATTTGTTCAATGGAAATATATTGCTTTTAATAACATCTCAGAAGACGTACAGTGTTAAGTAAATTAAAGTCCTTATAATGATTATTATTATCCAATTAAGAAACACAACTCTTCAAAATTAAAGAAAAAAAGTAACTTTTTATATTCCTTAATATTTAATTAGAGAATGCAATTAGCAGGAACCTTTTGATTACCTAAACTTAGAAGACCCAAGAGCCGATTCCTACGAAAAGCTAAATAAATTCAGACGTGCTTTTAAGATACCAAACTGTCCTTTCATGTCATTTTCCCCCAAGTTTCCTATTTATATGAACTTGAGCTTACGCTTTCCTCATCAATCGCAACCATAAGCTCACATATGGCTGGAGGAAGAAAGGCGATCACTAAGGCTGCTGCTTCTTCTCAACGTGGTAATAATGAGTCAGTTGCCTTAGTCCATGAAGAACGATCACTGGCTCTTGTTGTTGCACCAATTGTGTCTTCGTACAATGAGAGGATACGTCCAGTTCTGGATGCTATGGAAAATCTAAGGCGTCTTAACATTGCAAAGGAGGGAATTCAGCTTCCTTCCATTGTAGTTGTTGGTGATCAATCATCTGGGAAGTCCAGTGTTCTTGAATCCTTGGCTGGTATTAGCTTGCCACGTGGCCAAGGTATTTGTACTAGGGTACCCTTGATCATGAGGCTCCAAAACCACCCTCTCCCAAGTCCAGAGCTTGTGTTGGAGTACAATGGAAAAAACATCATGACCGATGAAGCAAACGTCTCTCATGCCATCAATAGTGCAACAGAAGAGCTTGCTGGCCATGGCAAAGGGATTTCAAATAACCCCTTGACTTTAGTGGTGAAGAAGAATGGTGTTCCGGATCTCACAATGGTTGATCTTCCTGGTATAACCCGGGTTCCTGTTCACGGGCAACCTGAGAATATTTATGACCAGATCAAGGACATTATCATGGAGTACATAAAGCCAGAAGAAAGTATCATCTTGAATGTTCTTTCTGCCAGTGTTGATTTCACTACTTGTGAGTCCATTAGGATGTCTCAGAGAGTTGACAAAACTGGGTTGAGAACATTGGCTGTGGTGACAAAGGCTGATAAGTCTCCAGAGGGATTGCTAGAGAAAGTGACTGCTGACGACGTCAACATTGGTTTGGGTTATGTTTGTGTCAGAAACAGAATCGGTGATGAGTCTTATGAGGAGGCTCGAATTCAAGAAGCGATGCTTTTTGATTCTCATAAATTGCTCTCGAAAATCAGTAAGTCTATTGTTGGAATTCCGGTTTTGGCAAAGAAACTGGTTCAAGTCCAGGCCATGAGCATTTCAAAAACTCTGCCCGAGATCGTGAAAAAGATCAATGAGAAACTGGCAAATAATTTGTCGGAGTTGGAAAATTTGCCAGCAAACTTGACTTCGGTGGCTGATGCCATGACTGCATTTATACAAATTATTGGACTGACGAGGGAAACACTCATAAAAGTTCTCATTAGAGGAGAATTTGATGAATATCCTGAGGAATACAACATGCATTGCACTGCTAGATTGGTGGAGATGTTAGATTCTTACTCGCATGATCTTTACGGTGATGAGACCATGCAATTTCTTATGGACGAGATACAGGTGTTAGAAGAAGCAAAGTGGATTGGACTACCAAATTTTATGCCTCGCATTGCATTCCTCAGTATTCTGCAGAAGAAAGTCCGTGGTATTAGAAATATGCCTATAGGCTTTGTTGAAAATGTGTGGGACTATCTGGAGGATGTGTTGATTACCGTTATCACTCGTCATTGTGACAACTACTATCAGCTTTTGGTATCTGCAAAGCGTGCAGCCCAGGTTTTAATATCCAAGAAGAAGCAAAATTCCACGAATCATGTTAAAGAAGCAATTGAAATGGAAATGTACACGGATTACACGTGTAATACTGAGTTTTCACAAGAATACAATAGGCTAATATCTCAGAAAGAAGCATTTGTGAAGGAAGTTTTGAGTGATAAACAGCCATTGCATGTGAATCTGAAAGGTGTGGGAAAAATTGATGCTGCTCATTTGAGAGAATACCCATCCTCTGTTCTTAATCAAGCATTTGACCTTAAAGTGAGGATGATTTCGTATTGGAAAATAGTTCAGAAAAGGCTGATTGATATCATAGCCTTGCATCTGATGCTAAGTATCCATCGTCTTGTTAACTGTGATTTGCAGAAAGAGATTGTGAAAGATCTGTTATCACCAAGTGGTGGTGGGATTGAGAGGCTGCTGGAGGAGTCGCCTTCCATCGCTGGTAAGCGTGAAAAACTTAGCAGGAGTGTGAGAGTGCTCAGAGAGAGCAAGGAAACTGTCGGAAATATAATCGACAGGATTGGAAACTACGGTGATTTTTAATAGTGTCTTATGTTCCTTAGTTTTCAGTCCGAACCTTTAGCAGTTTTTTATTTGGTTTTGTTGAAGTATCTTGAGTTTTATAGTTTCTGTTTTTAGTAACATCAATGAAATAATGCTCTTGATTTTCAGTGTTTTTTGTGTCTAATCTTATACTTACATTATTACTAGTACATAATATTTATCCCAAAACTAAAAAATACTTACCGATTTTATGTTGAGAATTTTTCTTGACAATTATTGGTTTTACATGGAGCAAAATCTTTAAATTTTCTTACTATTAATACATCACCGCAAGTAATTCATTACTCATTCTCTCACCCTTTCTCCTCTTTTCTTTGTAACAACACTAAATAAATTTTATGTATCTCATTTTAGTTACTGATAATTTTTTCACAAACAGCAAGAGTAAGGCACTCGGTAGTAATTAAATTAAGTTTTGACTTACTTTCTTAGCCAGCCATTATTTCAGTTTTTTAGTTCCATGTCGATTTGGAGTTTAAGCAGTGAAGGATCCTAAAAAAGAAAAACATTGTGCGCGAGTAAAAATGCATGCAAGAACATCAAGCCAAATCCAAAATTAACACTTGCGTGAAAAACAAATTAGAGTTTACCAACGCTTACGATATTTCAAGAACCCCTCAATATTATGTAACTTGAAAATTACTTGAAATCATTTAATAATTGATAAAAATAGTGGAATGTAGATTAAGTTGTCCTTTAATTGTTTGAGAATTTTTTTAGGAAGTCCATGAATTAAAACAAAATTTAGTGAGGTCTAAGTAAGCAAAAGATTTCTTTGGATTAGAGACTAAGCTAAGAAGTCAATGAAAATAAAATTCATTACCAAAGACCCATTTTTTTATTTATTTAGAGACTTACCTGAAAACCTCTAAACAGTTGAAGGACTAAGCTAGTAATTTAAATATCTCCATGAACAGTTAGAGTTTTAGAGGGGTCCTAAAATTACTGTCCTAAAATAGTGATCATTAAGGTTGGTTTCCCTAAAAGATTAAGCGTCTATGCTCTAAGGATATCTCATGTTGTTGCATTACTCTCAGCAACAAAGAAGTTAAGAACCAACACCAAATCATTTGCCAAATGTTTAGGGCGAGGTAAGTGTGAGAACTCCTGTTGAATTGTCTAACAGGCTTGAACTTAAACTGTGGTTTTCCCTTCTGATAGATATCCCTCATGGATTTAAACCTTATATCTTCACTAAAGTCACTTGACAATTTTCCTTTCAGATTCTTTAGGTGGATCTGGTGTTGATCTCAGCATTTTAACAGAACAATAATCACTGTCAAACTCCCAATAGGTGGCCCCCATCGTGCTAGTGATTTCCTTAAGAGCATCAACTGTAATTTTTTTGACAGTCACCATAACATAACAAATCAAAATGCATGGAAGAAAAGGAAACAACATCAATCAATGTTTGAACTAGGAGTTCAATAAAGCTAGACCTTAGGTATCTCCATATATATAATCAGGTGAACTGACACCAGAGATTCACTGTCTAACTGATACCAACTAGAAAAAGCGGCAAAGTCTTCAAATCAAAGAGGTTTACATGTTTGAACTGCACATAATGTCATTGACAATTGTACGCAAGAAATTATTGGTTTAAAAGTTTAATAGCAAAATCCAAGAAACTTTTAAAGAGAGAAGAGAGATATTCATACTCCAAAAGGTAAATCTTACTATAAATTCTTATAGAGAAAGTGATATCGTTTAGAATTGTCATGGTATCATATTCATATCAACTAGTTGGTTGCTGGAGCTGAAAAGGTAAATAGGAAAAAGGATATCTTTAACAAGAACAAGCAATCCCAGGATTAAAACCATCAAAACTGATTTATTGAATGAATTATTTCTGTGAAAAGTTTAGTTACTCATTATATCTTTGAACGTTAACTTTTTATTTATATCACCATTGCTTCTTACTCTATGTGTATGGATCTTTGAACTCCAAGTGTAAGTCTAAATTCTACATTACGATAAAATTAAATGTGCATTTAAAAAGATTCAAAAATTCATTACTTTAAAGTTTTGACTTAAAAGTGATGTTAATTTTTTATATATGTTGGACTCATATATGTTAATGTATTTGATTATGTCTTTATTAGATTATTATTTTCTACCTTTAATAGATTGTTGTTAAAATTTATTTGTATTTACTCTCTGTAAATAGGAAATATCCTGTAATCCTTTTTTTTATTGTATATATCTTGCAATCTCCAATATTAATGTAAAAATATTCTATGATGCCTCTTTAAGAAAGGAGCATTGCAGAATACAAACAAACAATTTTAAGGAAATAAATCTCTCATATACTCTTTCTTGTCTTGATAATTTGACATGGAATCAGAGTTTGGTCTCTGAACTGTGGTCTTTTCTTAGGTTCTACTGTTGTTTCTTGTGACTATCTTGGGGTTGGAGTAAACACTTCTTGTGGATGATCAAATATTTTGCCGTCATCTTCTTTTTGTCTTGATTCGAAAAGTTTCATGAGTTCGCTTCATCGTCTTCGTAAACACCACACAGGTTCGTGAGGTTGGTACTGTCTACTCGGTCGTCGTCTTCTTTTTGTATTGATCCAAAAGTTTTTTGAGTTTGTTGTGTTGTCTTCATACACAACACACAGGTTCGTGAGGTTGGTGTTGTCTACCCGACTGTCATCTTCTTTTTGTCTTGATCCAAAAGTTTCGTGAGTTCGTTGCATCGTCTTCATACGCAGCATGCAGGTTCGTGAGGTTGGTGTTGTCTACCCGACTAGCCGAACTCCTTCAAAGAAAATCGAGTTCCTAACCTGGATTGCCGAGCTCTCTTGTCTTGATATGTTTACAATATCTCATTTATACCGTCTCTCTCTAATGAATCCTCTATCGAAAAAGAAAGACAAACATCAAGGAGAATCAAATTTGTCTTGTTGATCAATTTAGACGGTTGTAATAAGAACACCAAGGTTTTGAGGTTGATGAACCCTATCACTTTATGTTAAAATCTCAAGTCACACACACTCCAATATTCTCCTAAAATTGAGTTTGATCTTTTTATTCAGTATTGATGGCTTTAATAGCCACGTAAATGCCAAAGATCGTTTATACAAAACGTAATAATAATTAGGAGAATAAAACTATTTATCTAGTCATATTCTATAAGTAGAATAACAACAGCTGCACCTAACAAATACAACAACTAGACAAATATATCAATAAAAAAGAAAATATAACTGACATTTAACCAAAATCGACACAACATTAAAATTCTCTCAAAATTTCAAAATAAGCCCCTTTCTTAATTTAATTTTATTTAACAAAACTCCCCCATAAACTTAAATTCTTTCTTTCTTTATTTCAATCAACTTATATTTCTGGATTAACAGCTTTAAATTCTTCATAGTTTATATTTTCTACTCCAACCAAGAGACATACTACATGTACTTCATCAGTGGTTATAACTATGTATGGAAATGCTTTGAAAACATAGTGTGGGTAGAACAATAAATTTCATGAAGTGTGATCTTAAGTGAGTGAGTGTAGTTGTTTTTGCTAAATAAAATTGTTCATCTTTTGTATGATTCAAAGGATGTGTTCATTCCTTATGGATTCAAAGAAGGTGTTTCTTTATCTCTTGTATGACTCAAGAAAGGTGTTTTCATCCTTTGTGAGACTAAAGGAGTTGTTGTTCCCTTATGGATTTCAATGGAGGTGTGTTTCATCTTTTGTGGCTTCAAGAGTTGTGTTTTCTTTCCTAAATTATTCTTACTCTTTTGATCTAAACCAGTATAAAATAACTTGTGCATTTTTTTCTATTCCCTACTCTCTTGATTTAACTATTGTTGTTATAAAGGATTTTTTTTATTGTAACTTTGATTTTGAAAGGGAAAATTTTAAAGTATAATTTTTATTAAGAAACCAAATCACCCTCCTTCTTGGTTTTGTCAATGTAAATATTTTGTAACAACAATCCTAATACGACTCAACTTAACTTAGGCTAGGACTAACTTAGTGCAACTCAAGTCTGGGTTAACTGGACTTGAGTTGAGCACATATCAATTTCATTCATCCTAGCCTAAGTTAATTTAACTTGAATCTTATTGGACATGTGTTAGCCAGGTTGGCTTTAAATTATAATTTAGTTTAACTTGTTTGTTTTTGGTTCAATTTTTTCTTCCTTATAAGGAGTGGTTCCTTTTTCCAGTAATATGACAAATTACTTTTGTACTTTTATTCATAAAAAAACTTTATCACATTTCTCACGTTTATGTGATGTAACATCTTGTCAAGATACTACTAAACCACTTGATTTTTTTTATTTGTAATTAAAAAACATTTATTTTGCACCATTAAAATTTTTTATAGTGAAGTACACAAGTGTCACTTCCCATCATTTTCCTCATAAGTTTCGTCGACAAAATTCACCTTCGGTACAACTTTGTTGAGTCTACCACTTCTTGTTGCTCTGCCACATACCACACTAGCAATCCTCAAGGTTAGCTCCTAAGGCCCCCTAGGGTCAACTCTCAAAAATTTGTCATCTTTTTGTTGATACCCATACATTTCTCAACCAAACAAAACCAAACACATGCATGTATTCCATTCAAAATCGTCATCATGATTTCAAACCATCCAAATAAAGTTAAAACTTAATAAAAGCACAAACAATGCCTAAAACACAAAATTCAAAAGAGCTAGAGTCATCCAACAACTTCTTGGCTGCAAAACCAACGGTAAGTACACATGTCGCAGCATAGCAAGTGATAAATATCATTCTGTCGCAAGAGAGTTGTGCAACACTTGACAACTCTAGCAATTCACAACTTAATTAGACAAAAAGATAACAAAAAAACAAGAAACTCATTCTTCTATTTTTTATCAAATAATTTGGTATGCAAGGAAATGTATCATAGAATATTTATAATTTGTTGAGACTAGAGTTCAAACACTTGATTCTCATGTATTGACAAATATCTCAATTTCATATTCATGTCAAAATAAACTCACAAGCATACTCAAATTCTATCCCTAGTAACTTTGAGCCTATGA